TCATATATATTTTAATATCTCTACCAAAAAATCACCTAGAAACAAACAAACAAAAATCCTTCCTCATTAAAAAAAAAAAATCACTTCATTTATTTGGTATATTCTACCAAGGTACACAGCTGCTATTTTACATTCTAACCTTACAAACTCTGACAAAATATACATGTGAATTTCTTCTTAGTTCACACACTTAATTTTTAATTCAGTAAACAGTTAATTATTTCATCTAATACAAAGTTCTCCTATGGACTCTATCTGGGATATTAAATGAGCCCACTGCTTAAATATAGAGGTATGTACATAACTTTCTATTTTATGCATAATTATAGTGCAGTATGCCATCCTAAAGTCACAGAGTCTTAGGTTCAGAATAGACATTAGAAAGCACCATGTAACCCTTCACACAAGAATCAAGAAACTGACTTGGAAAAATTACACAATTATTTGGAGTTAAACTCCAGCCTCTGACTCTCAGGCCACAGCGCTTTCAATTAACTACATGTAATGTGAAGACATAAAGGCTGTTGATCCAAGTAGGACAGTACGCAAGACATCTCTCTCATCTCGAATTATTCCAACCCTTTCATCTTAGGACCACAAATCCCAGCAAGGAAGATTTAGAGTGAAAGTCACTGTCCGCAATCCTCTTAAAGATAAGACCAGCTCTGGGATCTGCTGTGCACAGAGTCTGTAGACTCACCGGGACAGCAAATCTGTTGGCCTCCCTGTACTTCACGGCTTCAGTGTTGATTACAAATGCACGGAACTTTCTGCTCCCAGATAAGATTGCGCATGCAGAGCAGGGCTAAGTAGCATATCTCTAACACTCAACTTTCTAGCCTAGAAGTCAGAAATCTATTATTCTCTGTTATCATTTTGATATCACTTGGAGGGAGGATCCATTCCAGTAATGGGGCGAAGGGCCCCATTATGTGGCAGACTTACTTCCTCTACTGGGTAGGACCTACCCTTCCAACTGGCAGAGAGAAGTAAGCAGCTGGGCAGTGATCCAAACTCGGGTTGGCCTTGAGACCCAACTCCTTCGCCTTCACACCACAAGGCAGGGATCCCAGGCTTCCCACAGGCTGAACAGTCTTGAACATGAATATTCCAAAGAATTGACTAAATATACCACCTAAATGCATTTACAGTAAATGACATGACAAGTAAGATACGGGTGGGGGAATGTAACGTAGTAATTAATGCAAGCTTTTTCATTTCTAAATCCACCTTTCCAAAGCTGCAAAACATTCTTGGAAATGCTTTTTTTTTATTTGATATGCAATTCTCTCTCATCAGAACTTATTTGTTGGTACTAATTCCAAAACTTAATAGAAACCAAATTACTGAGATTTATACCAGAAATCTGTTCTACAAACGATGACTCACATGACTCACATGACTCACATGACACTTAACCTCCTCACAGGTGTGTTCTGTTGTTTGAGCACGGAAGGCACTGGAACAGTGCATGACACAAAGTCAACACCTGTTAAATACTACTCTCATCATAAACACTAGAACACCAATGTCAAGAATGGTGACCTGAGTGTTTTGTTCACTGGTGTATTTCCAGTGCCTGGCACACAGTAGGTACTCAAACACTTGCTCAATTCATTAACTGTGATTACTGACACTTCCATTATTTAGAACAGGATAATTTGCATCACAATGTGATGTCTTCTGGGAGAAAACATAAATTAAAAATGGGAAAAAGAATAAAACAAGAGTGGTTATCCAAGCCGCTGCACATTCCATCCACTTCCTGCTAATGCCACCCAGGGAGGCAGCAGGTGATGGCTTATGTGGTTGTGTCTCCGTCACCCACACGGGAGACCTAGATCAAGTTTCAGGCCGCTAGCTTCGCCCTGGCCTAGCCTTAGCTGTTGTAGGCATTCGGGGGTTGAACCAATGGATGGACAATCAATCAGTATCTATATCTCTCTCTGCCTTTTAAAACAAAATGAAAATAAACATAAATTTTTAAAATAAACAATAAACTGTTACTTAGAAATCTAAGAAAGGTGAGAAATAAAAAAACTGTTCCGTCCAAATGCAATGCTTGTCAGAAGAGAGGGGAAGCTACTCAAGTGGAGGAAGTATCTCTTTAAAGTTAACTAAGTTGCAAGAAAAGCAGATCAAAATTATTTGACAAAAGCCTTTTTTGCAAGACAAAAAAATTTCAGGCTTAGACAGCCTTCTCTGTTCATAATGAGGAACAAAATCTAGAAGAGGGGAAACTTGAGTCGCCAAGGGATAATTTAATCTGGACTTCAAACAAGTACAGGCCGCTGCCACGGCTCACTAGGCTAATCCTCCGCCTGCTGCGCCAGCACCCCAGGTTCTAGTTCCGGTTGGGGCACTGGATTCTGTCCCGGTTCTCCTCTTCTAGTCCAGCTCTCTGCTGCAGCCCAGGAAGGCAGTGGAGGATGGCCCAAGTGCTTGGGCCCTGCACCCGCATGGGCGACCAGGAGAAGCACCTGGCTCCTGGCTTCGGATCAGCACAGGGCACCAGCCATGGCGGCCATTTGGGGAGTGAACCAAAGAAAAAGGAAGACCTTTCTCTCAGTCTCTCTCTCTCTCTAACTCTGCCTGTCAAAAAAAAAAAGTACAGACAGTACTCCAAAGAAAGTGTCATTAGAAAAAAGAAGTTAACTTACCTAAGGACAGAGCAAGTGCTAGTACCTGACAGGGAGGCGGGAGTAGGGTCACTGCCTTCCTCCTCCACACTGGACACTTGACTATCCACTTACCCATGTGCTCACAGGACTTTCCAGCCTACATTTCATGCAGGCAGCCTTCTGCCCATCCAGACAAGACCCAACAGCCTCTGAGGATCACAGGAACTGGCTACTTGCTCTGGACCCTCCAGGAGAAGCAGGGGTTTATGGGCAGGGAAAGGAACTATGCTCTAATCATTTTTCTCTCTTACGTGTAAAAATGCTCAAAGAACAACTGAGGAAAATGCTGGGGATTCGCCAGGCCTCAGAGAACATAGCCCTTCACCCCCTTGATCCACATTATTGATCCACCACTATTCCACATTTCTACCAGAACATACAAGCTGATCATGTTAATAACACCCAGGGCAACGCAGCTCTCAAATACATAGCAGCCTTTGAAAATAGTCCATCTCTCCTTGTAAAGCCATCATGACTCAATCTAACCCAATCTAATCACTTATCAAAGACCCCACCCCTAAACACCACTAAACAGATTGAATTTCTACCCTTTTAGGAGAGAAGCACAATACTTTGGGGACCAAGTCTTCAATATGGGCCTTTGGGGAGACACCCAAACTAACACCCAAATCATAGCACTGAATATCTATTAGAAAGTAAAACCACTCTGACAACCATTTTCTAACAATTCCATCTATCTAACAATTTCTATCAATTCTTTTTTTTTTTTTTTTAAGATTTTATTTATTTGAGAGGTAGAGTTACAGACAGTGAGAGGGATAGACAGAGAGAAAGGTCTTCATTCCATTGGTTCACTCCCCAAATGGCTGCCCCGGCCAGATCTATGCTGATCCGAAGCCAGGAACCAGGTGCTTCTCCCTGATCTCCCATGTGGGTGCAGGGGCCCAAGCACTTGGGCCATCTTCCATTGCTTTCCCAGGCCATAGCAGAGAGCTGGATTGGAAGAGGAGCAGCCGGGACTAGAACTGGCGCCCATATGGGATGCTGTCGCCACAGGGGGAGGATTAACCTACTATGCCACAGCACTGGCCCCTCTATCAATTCTTAAATGAAGAAGATAAGAGGCTGGTGCTATGGCAGCAAGTTAAGCCACCACTACAGTGCCGGCATCCTATATGGTCACCAGTTCAAATCCCAGCTGCTCCAATCCTAATTCAGCACCCTGCTAATGTGCCTTGGAAAGCAGCAGAAGATGGTCCAAGGCCTTGCGCCCCCACGGGAGACCCAGAAGCAGCTTCTGACTCCTGGTTGTGGCCTTGCCCAGCCCTGGCCATTGCAGCTATGGGAAGTGAACTGGCGGAGAGAAATCTCTTTCTCCTCCTCTCTCTCTGTAACTCTGCCTTTCAAATAAATACATAAAAAGAAGATGATGATGATGAAATCTGTGTAAGTCATGTGAATCTAGTAAATCAGGCGATCTATTTTACATGTGCTCTCTTTAAAGGCCCACGTTGCTTTACAGTGGCTAGACTATGCTCATATGAAACTAGTGGGAGGAGAGGGGGAAGCCATCGAAAAATACTGAAACAAAATATGATCTTGGTATGCAAAGGGGTCCACCTCCTTCATCTAGGCAAGACTCAGCTAGCTACATCTTGTCTAACCTACGAATCCCACCCTCCAGACTGTGACGAGCTGGTCCTCTCTTTGACAAATGCTTGACATCCATGCTTCGCAGCACAGAAATCTGGAACCTTGAATTTGCCCTTGTTTATATGCCTGACCAGATCTAAAATCCACTTCCTTAGGAAAATCTTAGCCTGCTGGCAGGTGGGAAGAGCCTTACCAGGTCAACTCTTTTACATTTAAATACCAATATTAACCCTACCATCTAGCAAACACATCTGTCATTCAGAGTATAAGATTCCCCTTCCGAACACACAGCACAAAGTGACCGACAGTCCAATGTGCTGTTTTCCTGGCAGAGACCAGCTTACAGTGACTGACATACAAAAGGAAAAAATCTATTCACTCTAACCACTCAGTTCTCCAAAGCTGCTCCCTAGCGTAATTTGCCCTATCATCAAGGAGTTACAGGAGTATCATATGAATACAGTTCTCTTCGTTTAAGAACTACTATTAGATACGTAACTTCTGTCGTGTTGTTCTAAGTTTTGGATTAAAAAGTCAAATCCCTGTGAGAGCTTGGTATTAATAAGGTGCCTCACTTGCTTACCTACTTCATCCCAACAGAGAGCTCAAAGCTGAATGTTGCATGCAACTGATGGCACTCAACCTCCGCTTTGCGTCTTGACATATTATCTCCATCTTTCTACTGCTCTCACAGCAATCTCTAGGTTGTCTTCATTCTTTTTTATCATTGTCCAATGATGTGTTTTTTTTTTTTTGAAGCTACTTTTTAGAAGTGACACAAATAATTTTTTACATTCATTTTCTGACCATTGTTACTATAGATTTGTCCTCACTGTCCCTGAAAACTTCCCCTCTCTACACTCCTCTTTATCCAGAACAAAGTATCTTCTATTTTCACATCCAATGACTTCTTTCAGAGGTTGGATGAGGTACTCACCTGACCCCTAACATTATTGTGCCAAACTAAATTTTTCTTATGTTCTGAGTTTTCATGTGCACTGTCTTATGCTCTTCGAAGATTATAAGGTCCTAATGGCAGAAAGTATGCCTTACATCTCTTGATATCCACACCAGCATCAAACCAGGCCTTGCACACTGCAGACACAGAGTGAAGATGTGTTCTGGTAACAGAAAAATAGGTCAAAATGTTTAAGTCCTCTAGGTGAAGCCATTAGAGAAGTGACAGGCTGAAAATGAGATTTCTATCTTCAAAGCAGTTTACAATCTGAAAGAAGGAGGATATATAAATGACCTATGCAAGCAACAGAGACTGCATATACACAAACATAAAGGAAGTTCCTGAAGAGGCTGCATTTGGCAGGACAAGTCTGAGAACACTAAGGCTTTTAGTCAAGTTAAAAGGAATAAGCCTTGTCCATTCAGCCTCAAATAATGACTCCAGAGAGTTACAAGGCCAGAGTATTCAAAGAACAGCCAGAACATTTCCGTGAGTACAGAAAAGAACAGCAATCATCATTAACAATGGAGGTGAGCTATGGGGATGGCTGGCAGAGGGCCTGGGAGCCAAAGCCTGGGTTTACTTAAAGGCAATTTAAGAAGGTATAGACTTTGGAAAAGGATTCACAGCTATTGTATCAAGGGGTGGGGGTGGGAGGGAGTGCTGTAGCGCAGTAGGTTAATCCTCTGCCAGTGGTGCCAGGATCCCAGATGGGTGCCAGTTCTAGTGCCAGCTGCTCCTCTTCCCATCCAGCTCTCTGCTATGGCCTGGGAAAGCAGCAGAAGATGGCCCAAGTGCTTGGGCCCCTGCACCTGCACTGGAGACCCAGAAGAAGCGCCTGGCTCCTGGCTTAGGATCAGCCCAGTTACAGCCATTGTGGGAGTGAACCAGCAGATGGAAAACCTTTCTCTCTGTCTCTCCCTCTCACTCTCTGCAACTCTATAACTCTACCTCCCAAATAAATAAATAAAAATCTTAAAAAAAAAAAAAAAAAAAGGTGAGTAGGAGGGCAGGCATTTGGCATACCAGTTAAGATGTAACTTGGGATGATCGCACCCCATATCGGAGTCCCTACTCTCTCTCCAGTTCCAGGCTTCTGCACACCTGGAAAGCAGCAGATGATAGGTCAAATACTTGGGTCTCTGCTACCCAGGTAGAGGACCTGGATTGCGTTCTAGGCTCCTAGCTTTGGCCTGGCCCAGACCCAACTGGTGTGGATATTTGAGGAGTGAACCACCAAATGGAAGATCTCTATCTACCTGTCAAAAAAATAAAAGTAAGTAGATAAAAAAGTGCAGGGGAAAAAAGAATGTGTAGGAGGAGGGATAGGTAGGAGGAGGGATAGGTATTTGGTGCAGGGGCTAAGATACCACTTGGGATGCCCACATCCCATACTGGAGGGCCTGGGTTCAAGTCCCAGGTCCACTTCCCATTCCAGCTTACTGCTAATATGCACCTTGAGAGGCAGCAGGTGACTCGCCCGATTGGGCCCACCTCCACATGGGAGACCTGGATTGAGTGCCCGGCTCCTAGCTTTCACCTGGCCCAGCCCTGGCTGTTATAACCATTTGGAGAGTATACCAAAGAACGAGAATTCTGGGTATGTATGTGTCTGCCTTTCAAATAAAATAAATCAACAAATAATATTTGAAAAAAAGAATGGGTAGGAAGAAAAAGCTAGAATAAGAAGCCTAAGCATATACACTTCCAAAAGTACATGCAAGTATATAAATATTTACATATGAAGTATATATATACACATATTTCAAAAATATGTAAACAGTATAACTTCAAAAATTTCATATGCATATTATGAAAAAACTATACGTGGATTTTAATTTTTTTCTGCACCAAATAAACTGACTTTTTTTTTTTTTTGACAGGCAGAGTGGATGGTGAGAGAGAGAGAGAGACAGAGAGAAAGGTCTTCCTTTGCCGTTGGTTCACCCTCCAATGGCCACCGCGGCCGGCGCACCGCACTGATCTGATGGCAGGAGCCAGGTGCTTCTCCTGGTCTCCCATGGGGTGCAGGGCCCAAGCACTTGGGCCATCCTCCACTGCACTCCCTGGCCACAGCAGAGAGCTGGCCTGGAAGAGGGGCAACCGGGACAGAATCCGGCGCCCCGACCGGGACTAGAACCTGGTATGCCGGCGCCGCAAGGCAGAGGATTAGCCTTGTGAGCCGCGGCGCCGGCCATAAACTGACTTTTTACTTCCATTTTTCTATGATCTTTCTGAAACACTCTAACATACTAAAGAAGCATAAGAGAGGATACCTTGGCTGCCTGAACTACTCTCAAGCAGGAATTTGAGACCACCCATCTAAGCCCACTGGCACATTTGCCCTGACAGCCAAAATGCCGAGCAGTGGCCCTTGAATCTGAGGTTTCTTTATAGAATAAGACAATTCTCTCTCTCTCTGCCTTGTGACTTAATACTACAGACAGAATAACAAAATGTTTTTTAAAGATTTATTTATTTATTTGACAGGCAGAGCAACAGAGACAGAAAGAAGTCTTCCATCTGCTGGTTCACTCCCTAAATGGCTACAATGGCAGAGCTCAGTCAATTCGAAGCTAGGAGCCAGGGGCTTCCTCTGGCCCCCTACGTGGGTGATGGACCCAAACACTTGGGCCATCTTCCACTGCTGTCCCAAGCTGTTAGCAGAGAACTAGACTGGAAGAGAAGCAGCCAGGACATGAACCAGCACCCATATGGGATGCCAGCACCACAGGGGAGGATTAACCTACTACACCACAAAACCAGCCCTCAACAAAATGGTTTAGAGCAACCACTCTGGAGCCTGACTCTTGGGTTCAGATCTCAGCTCTGCCAATCATGAGGTATATGAGCTCAAAGAACATACTTAAGCTCACTTACTATGGTGTAAAATGGGGATACAAGATACACCTGCCTCATAGGCGGGGATATATATAAAGTGCCCAGCAGACTGGGTAGCTGGATAACTTCTCATCCAGTTGTATTAAGAAAATGTGCAATAAGGATGGACTCTATGTTAATGTCACAGTCCTCCAGAGACCCTTGATACCCAGGTCGGGAGTCACTGTCCTAAGAGAGAAACAAAAAGCATAGAACAAGCTCCATCAGCAACTATTTATGTGGCAGCAAAAGAATTCAGAGACTGCAGAAGCCAGTGTAACGGCAAACAAGGACACGGCACGGAAGACAGATCTAGGAACCAAGTTATGAACACTGAGATAGCAGGTATCTACAGATGGGATGAAGCGGAGAGAGAAAACATCACGGTCAGGGGATGGTATGCTGAGCATGCTTCCAGAACATTCCCCTGGACAGTCTACGGACAAACTAGAGGAAGAGGCCACATCCACACACTTCTGGCCACTCAGTACCAACCAGTTGACCACTTTTAATGGTCTAAATAAGGTCAGATTTCTTACTTGCAGTGGTTCATACTTAAATTATTATAAGCCATACTAATATAGCCCATCAACATCTTAACTGATTTCTTGATGATACTGAAAAAAATCTGCTTTCAAGAGATTATGTAAATTTGGTAAACATGTGAGTTTCAGAGCCAGTCTGAGAAATTAGGAAAAATGAATCATCTGCACTTAGGTTCCTAGTAATAGAAAAAAAGGAGAGGTCAATATATAGGCCCTTAAGCCTTCTTTTTTTATTTTTAAGATCTATTTATTTATTTGAAAGATAGAGTGACAGAGATAGGAAGAGACAAAGAATCTTCCATCTGCAGGTTTACTCTCCAAATGTCCACAACAGCCAGGTCTCAGTCAGGACAAAATCAAGAGCCAGGAACTCCATCTAGGTCTCCCATGTGGGTGGCAGGGGCCCCAAAACTTAGCCCATCAACCGCTACCTTCCCATGTGTACTAGCAGGAAGCTAGATTGGAAGCAGAGCAGCTGGGAGTCAAACTAGCACTCTGATATGGGATGCCTGCACCACAAGATGATTAACCCACCAAGCCACTATGCTGGCTGCCGTGACCTGCGTTAACTGCCTGAATTTAGGTGTTCTCTTCCTTAATCTGAGATCCTTGCCCTACCAACCTCTTTCCAGTTTTCAAACACTTGCCTATTTCAATTGCCATAGGCAAACCAAGAGACATGAAAAACCAGAAATTGACCAGGCCTCCAGTAGCTGAAACTGTGCCTAATATTCTGTAACTGTGTCTGCCCACCCACAACTTATCCTTCCGCAAGGCTAGGCAATTTTAACAGAAGTTCCAATCCCACGTGGACACTTCAGCTGTCTGACATCACACAAACTGCCATGCTTCTATTTCCACATCTATAAAGCAGAGACAATGCAAGTACACCCTCGGGCAGTTTGTTGCCACAACTAATGAGCTAACAGTAACCGACTGACTGGACTATGCCAGTGCAGTATATAGCAGCTGTGATTATCACCTCCACCTCCGCGCTACACTTGCCACCCCCAGGAGATAATCCAGAGCCTATGTTGCAAGTGAGGACTTTCACCCTCCGCCTGCAGCATGGGAAGCCTACCTGTTGCAAGCGGGGACTGTCACCCTCCGCCTGCAGCATGAGGAGCCTGCCTGTTGCAAGTGAGGACTGTCACCCTCCGCCTGCAGCACGGGGAGCCTGCCTGTTGCAAGCGGGGACTGTCACCCTCGGCCTGCAGCATGGGGAGCCTGCCTGTTGCAAGCGGGGACTGTCATCCTCGGCCTGCAGCATGAGGAGCCTGCCTGTTGCAAGCGGGGACTGTCACCCTCGGCCTGCAGCATGAGGAGCCTGCCTGTTGCAAGTGGGGACTGTCACCCTCGGCCTGCAGCATGGGGAGCCTGCCTGTTGCAAGTGGGGACTGTCACCCTCGGCCTGCAGCATGGGGAGCCTGCCTGTTGCAAGTGGGGACTGTCACCCTCGGCCTGCAGCATGGGGAGCCTGCCTGTTGCAAGTGGGGACTGTCACCCTCGGCCTGCAGCATGGGGAGCCTGCCTGTTGCAAGTGGGGACTGTCACCCTCGGCCTGCGGCATGGGGAGCCTGCCTGTTGCAAGTGGGGACTGTCACCCGCGGCCTGCAGCATGGGGAGCCTGCCTGTTGCAAGTGGGGACTGTCACCCTCCGCCTGCAGCATGGGAGCCTGCCTGTTGCAAGTCGGGACTGTCACCCTCCGCCTGCAGCATGGGGAGCCTGCCTGTTGCCAGTGGGGACAGTCACCCGCGGCCTGCAGCATGGGAGCCTGCCTGTTGCAAGTGAGGACTGTCCCCCGCGGCCTGCAGCACGGGGAGCCTGCCTGTTGCAAGTGGGGACTGTCACTCTCGGCCTGCAGCATGGGGAGCCTGCCTGTTGCCAGTGGGGATTGTCCCCCGCGGCCTGCAGCATGGGGAGCCTGCCTGTTGCAAGTGGGGACGGTCACCCTCCGCCTGCAGCATGGGGAGCCTGCCTGTTGCCAGTGGGGATTGTCCCCCGCGGCCTGCAGCACGGGGAGCCTGCCTGTTGCAAGTGGGGACTGTCACCCTCCGCCTGCAGCATGGGGAGCCTGCCTGTTGCCAGTGGGGACAGTCACCCGCGGCCTGAAGCATGGGAGCCTGCCTGTTGCAAGTGAGGACTGTCCCCCGCGGCCTGCAGCACGGGGAGCCTGCCTGTTGCAAGTGGGGACTGTCACTCTCGGCCTGCAGCATGGGGAGCCTGCCTGTTGCCAGTGGGGATTGTCCCCCGCGGCCTGCAGCATGGGGAGCCTGCCTGTTGCAAGTGGGGACTGTCACCCTCCGCCTGCAGCATGGGGAGCCTGCCTGTTGCCAGTGGGGATTGTCCCTCACGGCCTGCAGCATGGGAGCCTGCCTGTTGCAAGTGGGGACGGTCACCCTCCGCCTGCAGCATGGGGAGCCTGCCTGTTGCAAGTGGGGACTGTCACTCTCGGCCTGCAGCATGGGGAGCCTGCCTGTTGCCAGTGGGGATTGTCCCCCTCGGCCTGCAGCATGGGGAGCCTGCCTGTTGCAAGTGGGGACTGTCACCCTCGGCCTGCAGCATGGGGAGCCTGCCTGTTGCAAGTGGGGACTGTCACCCTCCGCCTGCAGCATGGGGAGCCTGCCTGTTCCAAGTGGGGATTGTCCCCCGCGGCCTGCGGCATGGGGAGCCTGCCTGTTGCAAGTGGGGACTGTCACCCTCCGCCTGCAGCATGGGGAGCCTGCCTGTTGCACGTGGGGACTGTCACCCTCCGCCTGCAGCATGGGGAGCCTGCCTGTTGCAAGTGGGGACTGTCACCCTCCGCCTGCAGCATGGGGAGCCTACCTGTTGCAAGTGGGGACTGTCCCCCGCGGCTTGCAGCATGGGGAGCCTGCCTGTTGCACGTGGGGACTGTCACCCTCGGCCTGCAGCATGGGAGCCTGCCTGTTGGTGGGGACTGTCCCCCGCGGCCTGCAGCATGGGGAGCCAAAGCAAAGCTCAGGCCAGCTCCACCTGAGGCTACAAGGAACTCCTCTGGAGTGAACCCGGCCTCTTTGAGAGCAGCCTGCGTGTACACACCTCAAAATGAGTGACCCTGAATCTCAGGTGTTCAGATGCCCACACAAGCCTCTGGAGGAGTTCTGCTCGGTTTCCTGACGTTTCTTGGGTGGTGACTCCACGGCACTAGTCTCTTTTCTCCATTTTATCTGGAAATCTGGTGAGGGGGAACCAAAACAGCCAGGCAGACCCCTCCCTCGCTTTCTAAGCCCGGCAAGTAACACAGCGCTGACGTAACGAAGACAACCCCACAGATTCGTTTCACTGATAACCGGTCTTCTCCCTTCCGGCACAGCTCTGCAGTGAACGACACCCAGGCGCACTCCCGGGCTCCCGGCACCGGCGCACAGGTGCGAGCGGGTGGTCCCGCCCGGGCGTGCGCGCCGCGTCCGCAGGCAGGCATCCCGCCCGGAAGAGGACCGGCGCCGCCGCCGCGATCGCCCCCCGCCGCACTCTCCGCCCGGCCGCGGCGGCGGACACCTTCCGGGACGCCCGGGGCGTGTTCCCGGAGCCCCGGCGTGCGCCCGCACGTGCCCGGGAGGCAGCAGGCCCGGCTCGCCGCCGCCGGCGCACTCACCTGGCCGGTGATGCCAGTGATGAGCGCCACCTTCCTGGGCTTGCCCGTGTCGCCATCCCCCGAGCCCCGCGGGCTGGGGCAGCAAGCCGGCGCGTGTGCCATGGAGCCGCGGGCGGCCGCGGGGCCGAGCGCAGGGCGGGGCGCGCGGGCCGGGACGTGGGGGTGTGCCGCGCGCGAGCCGCCTCGCGGAGCTGCCGGCGTGGAGAGCGCGCCGCGCCGCCGGCCGCCACAGTCTGACAGGGGCGCCCGGGAGGCCGGCGGGGCGGGCCGGGGGCGGGCCGAGGCGGGCCCGGCGGCCGGCGGCGCGGCTGCGGCCTGGCGGGCGCCGCGTCATCCGCGTCGGTCGGCGCCGTGACGGCGGCAGGCCCCGCCCCCGCGGCCGCCTCGCCACGCCCCCCGCCGGCCGGCGCGCGGGAAGGGCGGCGCCTGCGGCCTGCGGGGCGCGGGGCAGCGGGGCAGGGCGGCCCGAGGGAGGAGGCGAGCCCGAGGGAGGAGGCGGCGGACCCCCGGCGGACCCCCGGCGGCCCAGACGCCCGCCGCGCGTCCTGCGCCCTCCTCCGCCTCCGGGGCCTGCGAGCGTCACCCGAGCACGCTGAGGGGACCCGCAGCTGGCCACACGCTCTGCGTTCCGCTCCGGGCGTCGCGGGCCTTGGATACCCAAGTCCTGTGGCGTGGCTCGCTCTGGGTCGCATTGCTTGAAGGAAGGCTGCGTTACAAGGCCTGGGAGCGGGCCAGGGCTGTGGGCAGTGACTGACTGCACACCTGGGCGGGCCCTCTGGCCCTGGCGTGTCCCTCAGGCCTGGAACCAGCCGAGAGTGCATTTGAAGTGCACTAGTCCAAGGCCGGGCCCCACCCGTGTGCCGCGTGCGGAATGTCGAAAGAGCCGCACGAATCAGAAACTCGACGTGGCAAATTTCAAAGAGTAATTTAAACGCGAGGTGCGGCCCGTCCCAGTGCCTTCCGAATTTGGCTTACATTTGGCAGCTGCGCTGGGAGAGCAGCAGGTGTGTGGAAGAGAACCGACCGGCCTTCGCCGCTCTGCCTGCCCGGACAGACTCCTGTTCCACCTCCCAGTAGATCGCGACCTGAGTTACTGGGGCAGTGACCCACAGGCAGGTCGTGCTGCAGATCTGACATCGGAAAATCGGAAAAAAGATCAAAGATCCCCCGTTCCCCAAAAGCCCTCAGGAATACTCTAGCTGCATAGGTGGTCGCCTCTGGTTTCACACCCTGCTTCACCTGTAAGAATGACAGCAAAGATGTCTATTGCCAATGGAAGGCCACCCTGGAGTAATGAGTACAGAGACCCTAAGCACCACAGGAACTCACTAAAATCAAGGAAGGTCTTTGAAATCTATTAGATTATCTATAAAATTGTGATTCTTTTCATGTAAATATCTCATAAATTAATGAGGTCGATGAGTGCTTTAGCATTTTCAAAGAAGCAGTTGTCAAGAGAGTGCTGTTTTTAGGAGATACGCCACTTTTACTCCATAGCTTTGAGACCTGCTCTTACTGCACTGGACCCTGGAAGCTCACCTGTCCTGGATGGAAGTAGGACAGTGGAAGAGATCACGGGAAGATGATCAGTGTTGTTAGGGCCTGAACATCTTTATGTCAGAGATGGCTGGATGGTTCAACAATGAAGGGTGTCTTTCTGGAAAACCCTGAAGACAGTTTGTTGGTCTGCCAGGGCTGCCACAACAAAGTACCACAGAAAAGGTGGCTTGAACAACAGATTTATTTCTCCACAGCGCGCGGGCTGGAGAAGATCAAAGTGTCCGCAGGGTTGAGTGCCTCTGAGGCCTCTCTCCCTGGCTATAAACAGGTATCTTCGTGTTTACAGGCCTCCTCCCTGTGTGTGCTGTGTCCTAGCTTCCTGTTCTTAAGGCCTCTAGTTATATTCAAATGACTTCATTTTGATTTCATTACATCTTTAGACCGCCTATCTCTAATTACCCAAGGTTGACTTCAACGTGTGAATGGGGAGAAGGGCACAGATCAGCCCAGAGCAGACAGCTACCAGGAAAATAAGGTTTTCTTGTTCGCTTGTTTGGCAAAGGGAGGTCGATAGAGGGGTTGGTCGCTATTTCCCCAGCGTTATTCAGGCAACTTAAAGTCCGTGTCTGAGGCACGCTAAGATTACATGAACTAGAAGGAAATCTACAGGCTACTACTGGAAGGTAGGGAGCCCCATGGCCTCATTGTGTTTTACTCTGATAGAGTAGTTTCTAAACGTGGGTGATTTTGCCCCCCCAGGGAACGTGTGACAATGTCTGGATACATTTTTGGTTGTCACAACTGGAGGTGTGCTGTTGTTATCTAGTGAGTAGAGGCCATATTTCTGGGCCGGTGTCCTTCGATGCCCCAGACAGCCTGCCTCAACAGTCATCTAGGCCACAATGTCAGCAGTGCTGAAGTTGAAGAAGCATGCTCCAGGAGTTGATAAAAAGCCAATGAAAAATGATGACAAGGGGCCTGCGCTTTGGGGTAGTGGGTCGGGCTGCTGCCTATAACACTAGCATCCCATACGGATGTCATTTTGAGTCCCAGCTGCTCTGTTTTCTCTCTCGCTCCCTGCTAATGTGTTTTAGAAAGCAGCGGAGATGGCCCAAGTGCTAAGGCCCCTGCCACCTAGCTGGGAAACACAGATGGTGTTCCAGGCTTATAGCCTCGGCCTGGCCCAGCCCGGCGTTGAGGCCATGTGAGGAGTGAACCAATGGATGGAAGATCTCTCTCTGTAACTCTGCCTTTCAAATCATCTTTTTTTTTATGGCAGCAAGTATATCATTTAACTGACACATACTTGGATATAATATTCAATAAAATCACAGTGTGTTTTAGAGGAAGCAAATAAATTTTGTAGCTAACTGGTGACATTCCTACCTTCACCCTCAAACATCACTAAATTCCAAAACATATTCAGCTTCCTTCTGAGGGCACATAGAGAACAAATATTTTTCAAGGAGCTGCAGTCTGAGGGTATAATAGTATATAATTTTATGACTTTCGTAGCGTTTTCATATTCACTTAACATAATATGAAGTATGGAGACAAAGGGGAAGGCCACCAGCTCCAAGTTTTCTGATCGGATGGAGGTCAACCATACTAAATAGTGCTTTAATGCTGAACAACTTTTGTCACATCTTTATTTCTCATTTCTTACCATTGAGTAGATGCCCAGTATTGAAGAACAATACTCTTCCTTCACCTCCAAAATATCTCCTTTCCTTTTTTATCTTTCTTTTCTTTGCCTTTCACGTAGGGAACATTTACTAATCTTTTGCTATAATTCAAATTGGAAAAACAATGACAATGACTAGCATGGATTAGCTAAGCATGTAAGAGTTCCAGGCAGTGTATCATATCTCAGTCAAGTCTGTAGGATAAGTATGGTAATGAACCCTATTTTATAGAGTTGGAAATTGAGGATCAGAAAGATTAATCAACTCACACAGAATCATATGGCTAGTGGTTAGTTATGCTAGATACTATGGCCTTCTCGCCTTCCATATGCTAAAACCCACATTTCCCAGGTCATTTTCCATCTGACATATTAGAAGTGAACTGAGTTCTACCAATGAGATGTATGCTTGCACACTCTGGCAGGCGGCAGTGAAATAGCAATTATCTTTCTACTTCTGGTCTGACTAGTAGCGTTTGTGGCAGCAAGACTCCAATTTAGGTCATCATCACCAATTTCATGGATAAGAGAGCCAATTGGGAAGGCAGCAGTGCAGCAGGAGTAGTTTCCTAAATTCTGACTTAGAGCTATGGTGATATGCCCATGACATCAGCTGCCAGTGGTGACCCTCTGACTCCAATTCCTACACTACTTGTAAAGATTTTTTTTAAATTGATCTTTGTACTCAAGTGGCATGGTCACATCTTAAAAAACTAGCACAATATCACAAGCAGGATATTGATATTGATAAAATCATATTCAGATTTCCCCAGTTTTTGTACTCAGTTGTGTATATGTGTGTATGTTTATTTCTACACGGTTGTATGTGTAGTTTTGTACATCCACCACAGTCAAGATATGGAATAGATCCAACACTATACAGATGTCTCATCTTTTTTTTTTTTTTAATTATTTGAGTGGTAGAGTTACAGACAGAGGGAGAGACAGAGAGAAAGGTCTTCCATCCACTGGTTCATCCCCCAAATGGCCACAATGGCTAGAGCTGAGCCAGTCTGGAACCAGGAGCCAGTAGCTTCTTCCAGGTCTCCCGCACGGGTGCAGGGGCCCAAGCACTTGGGCCATCTTCTACTGCTTTCCCAGGCCATAGCAGAGAGCTGGATCAGAAGAGGAGCAGCCAGGACTAGAAACAGCACCCCTATGGGATGCTGGCACTGCAGGCAGAGGATTAACCTACTGTACCACAGTGCCAACCCCTCATATTGTTCTTTATAACCTTATCACTCCTCTCCCTCCCCATTCCTAACCCCTGGAAATCACCAGTCTATCCTCTGTTTCCATAAAAAGAATTATTTTGCAGCCGTTGGGGACTGACTTTTTCCACTCAGGTTAAGTCTCCTGGAGAGTCAGCCAACTTCTGTGTACTGGTAGTTCTTTCATTTCTATTGTTGAGTGGTATTCTGTGGTGTGGATGTACCGTAGTTTGTTCAACCATTCACTTACCAAAGCGTATGGGGGCTATTTCCAGTCTGGGGCTGTGGCGAGTAAACTGCCGTGAGCATTCGTGTACATTTTTGTGTGCGAACCTAAGTTTTATTTTTGCCAAAGAGTGTAGTTTCTAGGTCCTAGGTGATTGCATGTTTAGTTTTCTTTAAAAACTGCCGAAGTGTTTTCTTGCAAGGATTTGTAACGTAATTTTCTGTGATAAATCCATGTCTGCTTGAAATTTCTATACTGATTTCCATGTCCAGCTCTAAACCTTGGCCTTCTGCCTTCCCAATTGGCTCTCTTATCCATGAAACTGGTGATGCTGACCTGATTATACGGACAAGATTCACACTTCAGATTCAGTACTCTTAACTCAAGTTTAAAGGCCAAGAAGATGGTCACAGGACTGCGTTAGGGTTGAGAGAGAGAGGCTGGCACAACAGACTACAAACAGGGAAATAGAGGCCACCTCCTTTTTAGCTTCCCTTCACTTCAGGATTTATATCAATTTTCCAGTTGAGGAAATAATCAGGATAGAAGCACTGGATCTTTAAATAAAACCTTGTAAAATTCCAACTCAGTTGGGTACAAAGGAACTGACATCCCTGTTTTTCCATTGGAATAGAATTACATTTCATGAATCTGTTTCCCTAGAATGCATAACAGAAGCAACGGGGTTTTAGAAACAGAATGGAATCTATCTCCTCAACTTTGGAATACACACGACAAATCTTTGGATGATGTGATTATGTAGTCAACATAACTGAATACATTTAATTCCCTCACATCTTCATTCATTTAATTTTTTATCAGCTGTCTGCCTTCAGGTACTATAACAATATATAACAAACAAATTGGAATATAACAAATAAGTCTGAGCCCTGGATCCCACAGTTACTTCTATCTCTAGAAGGGTGTGTGTGTTCTTAAAGTCACTTTGTCTCCAGCTCCTTAGATTTTTAACTTTCAACTGTTGGACCAATGATTTCAAGCTAAAAAAAACTATTCATTGGGAAGGTTTTCCATTCTAGTAATCTTGATTTCTCAATGCACACAAACCCAGGTAGCAAAGCTTTGGACTCACTGATGTACTGTCTAATTACAGTCTCCTCTCAAGGAACACAGAATTGTTTTTCCATTAGTGGCATCAAATCCAGAAGGAAACAGTATGTGAAGCTCTGAGTCCGCCTTGGCTCCCATTTTCAGCTTTCTCCTCTCAGGACTTGAGAACAAATACCTGCCCACCAGTCCTTTTGTGGCATGTCTTAAAGCCTTACTCAATAAAAGTGAATCTACAGTAACTTAAAATGCTAGAGATGAAGTAATACATTGTTCTTTAAATTAGATGAGGTAATAAAACACCCTTGAGTGCCGCTGGAAACTTTCCAGCTCCTGGCTACTTGTCTGATCCTTATAATATGTCAGAATTGCCTCAAGGTTAAGATATTGGTCTCAATTTTAATTCTAAGCATCTACTGCCAGAGAAACCTTACCGTTTTGTACTAACATGTTTAAAATATTCAAGATGCTGTCATAAATCTCAAACTGTTCCAGGCTGAGTCCACTTGAACTAGTAATGGCTTCCAATATGCCTTCCAGTACTTTGATGCCTAGAAGAGGTCTTGGCTAGGGGCCTAATCTGCACAGCTAACAAAGGAAGCTAGGATTATAAAGGCAAGCACCTTGAATCCTATACACTGGAGAATTTGCTAGACCTCCTTAGAGAAACAGTAAAGAGCATGTTGATCCTAATGATTTTTTTTTTAATTTTTTTTGACAGGCAGAGTGGACAGTGAGAGAGAGAGACAGAGAGAAAGGTCTTCCTTTGCCATTGGTTCACCCTCCAATGGCCACCGCGGCCAGCGTGCTGTGGCCGGTGCACCGCGCTGAGCTGAAGGCAGGAGCCAGGTGCTTCTCCTGGTCTCCCATGGGGTGCAGGGCCCAAGCACTTGGGCCATCCTCCACTGCACTCCCTGGCCACAGCAGAGAGCTGGCCTGGAAGAGGGGCAACTGGGACGGAATCCGGCACCTCGACCGGGACTAGAACCCGGTGTGCCAGCGCCGCAAGGCGGAGGATTAGCCTAGTGAGCCTCGGCGCTGGCCAATCCTAATGATTTTTTTTTTAAAATGACTCCCCCCTTCCCACCAAGACAGAGCCTCTGTCCATTCCTAGGAGGTAAGCCTTAGGGAATTCCCCC